TTCTCCCAGATTTGCTGTGCACACTAATCCATTCACTTTTATGTTTATAGAAAGTTTACTCATGACCCGGGCTTTCCAAACTCTTTCTATGTGGTAAAACACCTGTAAGACTGCTGTGTGGAGACTTCTTTCAAATGACTCTCATGGTAAAATGGCTGATTAGCTGAGTTATCGGGGAAAATTATCTATCCGGGTAAATTATTTTTCCCTTTTGAGCCTCTTTTTCCTATCTGTGACAGGGTGGGATATTGCCCATCTTGGAGGGCTTCTGTGATAAGGAATGATAATACCACCACCTCTCACAGTGGGCCTGGCATTTAGCAGGGAGTTAAAAAATTAAACCATACACACACACACACACGCACACACACATGCACACACACATAGATCCAGTATACATATAAGTGCCTGGCACTTAGCAGATATATATACAGATCTAAATATAGATCTATATATATAAAATAATTTACAAGGAGTCTGTGTGTTTCCAAACTCTGCTCTGGTCCTCACTATAGAAGGGATATCCTCCCTGGAATCCATCCACAAGCAACAATGACCCTTTACAGAGTCCTCCAAATTATTCAGGATGTTATTATATGAGTATTTTGTTCTACTTCTTAATATATTACTATGCGATAATGCTTGCAAGGGCAAAGTAACCATCATCTTTCCACACTAACTGTCTTATTATAAAATATAAAAATAGGGCTTTGGGGGTTGGCTCTTGGGCAGGGAGTCATGAGAGAACCATGAGAAGAATCTTAATGTTCTCTTTAAAAACTAGTATTCTATTATATTGAAAAAACAAAGGAGTTTGTTTTTCTGTAGATGAAATCTACACACAAACATGCCTTCCTTTTACTATAATATAATCAAATCTGAAAGCTCCAAAGTTTATTGTTACAGACCAGATCTGCTATAGCTGCTTTCAAACCAAAAATAGTTTAAAAATGAGAAAATCAGAGATGGAGTCATCTCAAAGTAATTATTCTATATTTTTATAATTTGGAAAAATATAAATCATAAATCACAGCTAACAATTTACTCTCGATATCATTTAATATCAGAGAATCAACTCCTTTGTTTCTCTAACACTTTAGAATTTTTTTAAAAGAGAGCTCTAAAATTCCTTTTATTAATAAATCCATTAGTGAGTAATAACAATCTGTTTTGACACAGCCCTGACCACAATATTTGCTGTGGTTCCAATTTAGGATTTATTTAATCAGAACAGGAAGAATCAGAATTATGAAGAAAGGTCTTAAAAATAAGATGGGAGGGTCTTACCCCAAACGTCCTCAGTCAGAATCTCTGGTTGGGGAGTGTGTAGAGGATATCTGCTAAAAACCATTGTTTATCTACCTTTTCCCTGTGATTCTATCAAGAAGCCTGGTGTTCCGACCTGTTACTAAATCACTTGGTAAACCCTAGATGATATCCCAAAAGGGTAACCAAGCAGCAGTTATGGCAAAGGAAAAGCCAGTGATGTTAGAAGATGTTTAGGCTGTTTCCTGTTTTGGTTTTTTAGAAAATCTTATTTATTTGACAGAGAGAGAGCAAGAGCACAAGCAGGGGGAGTGGCAGAGGAAGAGGGAGAAGCAGGAACCTGATGCTGGACTCGATCCCAGGACCCTGGGATCATGACCTGAGCCAAAGGCAGCCATTTAGCCAACTGAGCCACTCAGGCTTTGCTAGGCTGGTTCCTGTTTCAACAGTATTTAGCAGGATAATCCCAAATCAGGTGTTTTTTTAGAAACCAGACTGACAATGTATCTTCCTGTCTCTGGTTCCCACCTCCATAAATTTTACCTACATCCCTTGTGATAAGCATCTAGGAAAATGTTTATTCAGAAAAATAAAAAAAAAAATTTAAAACCACGTTTTTTTTTTCTGGGCAAATAATTCATGATATTAAAGCCAAAAATAAATATATTTACATCTCTTTAGGCCAAAAATGAGGAATAATGCAGTTGATTCTAAATAAGAAAATGTCTTAGGTCATTCTTTTAGATTATAAATCTTTTTTTTAAAGATTTTATTTATTTATTTGAGAGAGCCCATGCACACAAGATAGCATGAGGCGGGGAGAGGGGCAGAGGGAAAGGGAGAAGCAGATTCCTCACTGAGAAGGGACCCCACCCCCCTACCCCGCCCCTGTCATTGCAGGACCCTGGGATCATGATCTGAGCCGAAGGCAGACACTTAACCAACTGGGCACCCAGGCACGCCTCAGATTATAAATCTTAAGAAAAAGTGTAGTTAAGAAATTTAACTAATGATTATCTACAGAGTCCACTGCCATAAGACTAGTATCATCTGATTTTAGTGAAAAAATACTCTGAGTCAAGGAAAATTTCACATCTTTGGTCTTTGCTTGATTTCTCCAATGTGCATCCACTTCTCTCACAACTCTATAATAAAAAATACTAACTATTTTAAAAGAATAACCTAGTTACATAATTCAGATTATTACTTGGAAGGGAAATTATATAAAATTTTTGAGTGGGACAAATTTAAGGTACAAATTAGTTCTGTTTCTATATTTGAAATACATGTGATCAGGCTGCTACCAAAAAAAAAAAAAAAAAAAGATATACCTAAAAACTTAGAATTCCACATTCCAACATTTAGTTCCATGCTTTCACCACCACACCGTCTTACTTTTGTTCAAAACACAGATTTGCTTTTCAGTATTCAGGATTTTGTTTGCTCCTTTTCATTGTGATTATGCATAGTTCATGTGGATCTCCGCTCAGCTTGCATTTACCTGAAATGTACGAGTATCAGCCAGGATCAAGGTCCACAAACTCCCTCCTCCAAGCACTGTCCATGTTATTCTGCCAAAAGCAACAGTTGTTTCCTAGGATCAAGGGTTTTGAGGGCTGAAGGACCCTTGAGATCCTGTCCAGAAAATGTACAATTCAGACACCCTCTCTGAAACTTCCCTGCCAGTAGTGTATGGCCCTATTCTTTGGCCCGCTCAAAGTCAAGGTAATCATGGCCCCTGGAGGCAGCCCTGCCCATTGCTGGAGAGCACTGGTGGTTCAAGAGTTTTTCCTTGTGTCCAGACTAGCTGTGCGAAGCTCAACAAATCACAGTATCTTTGAGTGAGTTTCTCCAAGCATGAAGAGTGAGGACTTCAACATCATACATATCACAAAATTCTTCCTAATTAATTAAATGGCAGGAACAGGAATAAAACATTTGCCTGTAATAGCTTTGGGTCTAAAGGATCTTATCTAATTGGTGAGGTTTATGTTTTAAAGGCAGAAGCTGCAATTTTTACACACCACACCACAAAGAATTTTCGATGCTACCGAGCAGTGTCTTTGCATCTTATTCTGCGGGGGTACAGAACCCGGCCACTCACTCACTCACTCCTCAGCCCCCTGGTGACCGGTGTCTGCTACTGGGAGCCTGGCTTGGCACTTAAAGAGCTGTCACCAAATGTTCACTGTTGCCCCCAAACCACCAGTGTGTCAGTCTTCCCTCGTCATCTCCTTCTCTGAGTCTTTGTCACTGTTGCCCATTTTCAGCTTTTGCAAATCGTCTTCTCTCTCAGCCCCAGGGACAACACGGCCCTCATTCCCCTTTGCCACTTTCTGACCACTCTTCTGTCTCATTCTTTGGCTCTTTCTCTACTCCCACGATTCTTGGACTCCCTTGTCTTTGCCAGGAAGAATCCCATACCTGAGCTCTCCTTCCATCCTGGTCACTAATTCACTGTGTGGTCTTACATAACCCACAATTTTCTCTGGGCTTCATTTGTCCCTGAGAAAGAGAAGGAGATGGACTTGACGGTCCAAAATGTCCCTTCGGGCTACGCAGCACTAGGCTAGTCTATCCTAACCCCACTCCTCGAGTCCATTGGTAGGTGGGACAGTTTCCGAGAGCCCATACAAGTCTGTGATGGGGCCAAGGCCACCCAAACATCATCACTTCCAGCATAGGCAGGAACCTAAAACATCCCTTGCCTGTGATCTTCATTTTATAGCTGAGGCAGCCTAGGTCTAGAAGGAGTACTCGATCACCTCACAGCAGAGTCGGGAACAAGGAAGAGGTCTCTTGGGCCCTCAGTGTGCTGCAGGATAGGGGCTGAAGTACATAATGATATCAGAGCAAAGCATCATATAAAGGCATAAATTGGAGAGAACACTTTAGAGCTTTTCTCTGAGAAGATGAACTCCATGCTGTAACTCCAAAAAAAATCTGAAGAGATACTTGCTAGAGAGGGTGCTTTAGACAGAGCAGAAAAATCTGATCACATAAAACATCTGAGATTTATGTTTTTAAATAGCCAAATAAAATAGAACATCAAGTCACAGAATACATATATTTATATTAATTCAAATGCTCAGAGCACAATACAGTAAGATCTATTGAATAGTTCATATAATTTGGTTTACATATACACGAGCCTATGAACAAACATTAGCTAGAACAAAGGTTTAAGAAGTTACTCAGACATTTTGGTATTGACACCTATATATTTATGGCAACAAATGATGATAACTTTCAACTTTCAATAAGATCTTTTGTGCAAGGATAAGAAATGTACAGAATGGAAAAGAAGACAAACAAATGTACCTTTATTGCACTATTTATCTAACACCATTTGGGATGTCCAGCAAATTGTATCAGTGTATTCTGTTTCTTACAGTCTCAGATGATGAAATTAGCTGAATTATTCCCAAACCTAACTTTACTTTTGTGCTTTGTAATCCTAAGAAGTTAGTAAAGTCTCTTTTTAAGGAATACCCATTCATGAAATTTATTACTTCTTTCAAGAATCCTGGACGAAAAGACAAGGTCGCCTCCAGACCAGCTTTGAAATGGTCAGCCGCGCTAAAGACTAAGAGACTGGTATCTAGAACTTAAACTTTGGAAAACAACCCCATCTTTTTCTGGCACACTGAGGAACCGAAGTACCCCTCACTACATTTCCTAGTAAACAGTTAAAGAGGCCATTTGGTTGCATTTCAAAACACAAAACAACACCATTTCTGTCCTCCTGTTTATTCTGCAAACTGCATGGAAAGTTAAGTACGGAGTGATTAAATGACTACAGCCTACACAGACAGGCACAAAATTAAGTGGACGCCACAAAGGGTGTGTCTGAAAACACGGAATTGACCGAATCGGAGTCGGATTTCACCCTCGTGGACTTCAGGATGCCCTCGGCTATGACCGGTTCACTGGGAAAGAGCCTGACTTTGCCATTCTGCCCTGCAGCGGTATCCTTCAGGGGTTCCAAAAACACCACTCTTTTCCCAGCCCCTGCCTTCCGTTCGTCAGTGGGGGTGTCGCTGGCAGGGCCGGGGTTGAGAATAGACGCATGGGCATTGCTTTGGTTGAGAGTATTTTTTTGTCTCTTGGTTTTACACTTGCAAGGACACGGCGTCAGATAGAGGTACAAAAGTACCAAAACGATACTGGCCACGCAGGCTGCGAGGGTGGTGAATGCTGTGTTAAATGCCTCATGGGCATGGGATTTGTTTACGGTGAAATTGCTTACGTTGATGGTGACATCCACCGTCTCGTTTAAGAGGCGCTGCCTGTTCATGGCAATACAGGAATAGACTCCAGCATCCTCAAAGCGAGGACTTTCTATGACCAGACTTCCATTGCGAAACACGTGAAAGTTCTCCAGCTCTTTATCGGGCTCCAGCAGCCTGTTATCCGGACGGACCCAAATGAAATCGGTATTTGCATTGCCTGTCTTGCTGTCACAGGGGACAATCAGCCTTTCCCCGACTTGAGCTTCATGAATAAAGCCAAGTGCACGGAAGGAGCCATTGATGATACTGTCCGAGCAATTCAGAAAGCTTTCCTGGAGCAGAAGCAACTGCTGGGAGTGCTTGGAGTCAGACCACAGGCGACAGGTATAATCATTCTTAAAATCCATCACTGAGCTAAAGTGTCTGCGATACCAGAAGATCAGCAATGAATAAAGGGAACAGTCACAGACAAATGGGTTTCCATGAAGGTAGATGCCTCTCAGCTGCTTTCCTGGTACTAAATTAATGTGGTGCATTGGCAGGGAGGGGATTCGGTTATAAGAAACATCTAGAAACATCATTTCTGCCAGCTTGAACCTTCCAACATACAAATCCATGGGGAACTGCGTAAGAAAGTTTCCACTTAAGTAGAGTTTTTGCAACTGGGAGAGCCCTCCAAAAGCTGAGGGATCCAGATAGGAAATGTGATTGTTGTAAAGCAGGAGCACTTCCAGAACCTTTAACTCTTGGAACACTGCACTTTTCAGGGTCTTCAGCTTGTTGGATGATAAGTCAAGACACTTCAGATTTGGAGTTGTGGAAAAACTGCCTGTGGCTATGCTGGTGATGTTGTTATGACGAATAATGAGGGTGTTCAGCTTAACAAATGATACTGGAATCCACTCCGCATCCAGGAACCCGATTCTGTTATAGCTCAGATCCAGCCTCTTAATCAGTCTGAAAAGGTTCCCAGGCACCTTGGACAGGTTTTTGTTGGTGCAGCTCACGATGTCCGTGGCACAGATGCAAGCAGTGGGACACACCCCGGAGGCACCACGGCTCACGGTCACCGTGATCACCAACAAACACAGCAGCTCCCTGCAGCCCGGTCTGACAACTCCAGGCAGGGTGGGCAGCGTGTGTAAACGTAAAGACATTATGGTCGCCTCCAAGTCTCTTCCTGGCGCCTTTCCACCAGCTCAGCCTCCCACCAGTGAACCTGGTAAACAATCAATATTTGGGGGGGGGGGGAAGAAAGCAAAGTTAACTACCACCAGTTAACCCTTAAGAGTCATATCTTGCTTTCTTTTCAATAACTTTTGAAATGCAGGTTGTATGTCACGCTGGGGGAGCCTACTATGGTGGTTTTTACTGTTAAATGCAATTTCTTTTCCTGGGGTACTCCTGCTTACAGACACTGACGGTCGCAATCTATCAATACAACCGTCTCAACATCAGAAAGTCAGTATTTTTTTCTAACGTGCAGGCTGCGTCGTTTTTTAAACTCCCTGCAACAGACACAAAAATACACAAACGCACCCTACAAACAAACGGAAATGCATAGGAAGCCACCCCTCCAGAAAACAACTCACAGAGCTGAAAAGCCTCACCGGCTCTGAGGATAGGCCGCCGACGGTGGTGTCTTCTGAAGGTATGTGAGTCTGTCTGTCTCTGTCCGTCCCTCCTGCCTTTTCCGAGTTCCTTTCCCTCCTGCTCCCGGCGGGCGGCAGCCTCTCGCTGGCTCTCAACTTTGGGGAGTTTCAAGCAGCCGCGGCGGCGGCAGCCACCCCGGGCGCAGGAAACGTCTCGGCCGGCTCCAGAGGGTTCTCCTGGGCTCTCTTCATTGCTCGGCTCAAGGTACCGGCTCGGCGCCCTGGCCGTCGCGTGTCCCGGCGCGGGGCGACCCACTCCCCGAGCGGGTTCCGAGGGGCGGGGGCGCCGGCAGCGGGTCGGTCCCGGCCCCGCCTCCCGGCGCTCGGGAGCCAGCAGGACCCGGGGTTCCCGCGCGCCGCCGCCCGGGTTTTATCCCCGTGCGCGGGGTCGGATGCGGGGCGGGGACACGGTCCCGCCCCTGCGCGTCCTCCCGCCTGGAAGCGGCTCCGAGGCTGAGGGCTGGAGCCCGCTGGGCGCACTGCGGGGGGCGCGCGGCGCGGGGAGGGGGCGGCGGCGCAGCCAATCGGAGCGGCGGCCGGCATCCCTCTCACCGTCCCCCCCCCACACCCCGCGGCCTCGCCGCCACCTCCTGCCTCCCGGGAGAGGGACGCGGCGGAGCGGGGTGCAAGCCCGAGGCTCACCCATTCCTACCCGCTGTGTGTGCGTGTGTCCAGCCCCGAACGGGGTGGTGGGGTGGGGCGGGGGTTCAGGGGGCACGCCCAGCCAGGGAAGGAAAGGTCTCTCCCTTGAAGACCCCACTTGTCGCGGCCGCCGGGGTCCACTGAGCTCCCCGACCTCTTGTAGCTTTCTTTGGGCCAGGGCCAAGAGGGCTCCCGCCGGGCTAAGTGCAGCGGCTTTTAAACGTCTACAAAATAAACCCAGAATTGGCCTTCCGTCCTCGGCCACGTTTGGGGGGTGAAGTGGGCGGGAGTGTAGGGAAATGACACTTTCCCTCTGGTGCCACCAGGATCTCTGTTTGGGGGAAGGAACCGGGAAGGCACTGTGGGGACACGCCGCACCTGGGAAAGTTCTATCCCTTTCCTAACTCAGGAGGCGGCATCAAGGATGGTGCCCAATCCGAAAAGGAGAAGACAGGAAAGAAGGCTTGGGGCCGACCTTCCAGCTGGAATGCAAAGATAAGGATTTTAAGCTTTAAAAATGAAAAAAAAAAAATATATATATATATATACATATATACATATATATATGTATATATATACCGGAGCCAGACCCCCCCCCCTTTTTTTAGGGGGTTGGAGTGGGCCGGGGCGGGGGGGGGGGGGGGGGGCGATGGAAGCAAGTGTGTTCATGCCAGATACGGACTGATCCCTAGAAGGGGTCCCTGCTCCGGGGTTCTTCATAACACCCAAGAGACTGGCGGGCGCCAGACTGGAGCCTGCTTTGGTCTTAGCAAACTAGGAAAGGCGCAGTCTGAGGTGAACACCCCGCCAACCTACCCCACCCCCACCCCGCAAACAAACAAACAAAAAAGCCCAGCTGAACAAATGCAAGGTGGAGGGCTTGGGGCTGATGAGCTTTTCTATTAAAAATCCGTTTTTGTTTAATTCCAAGATCAGTTTTAACGATGGTATTTGACTGAGCCAGATGGCCCGTTTGTCCATTATATCTGGATTAAAAAAAATAAATTACTGGCCTGACAAGAGATAACTAACTAAAGCGGAAGGGATAAGGAGACTGAAAAGCAGACCAAATTGAGAAAACAGGAGTGGGGCAAATAACTTGTAATATTACTTGAAAAATAAAATGGATGTTACAACCACCAACTCCTCCCTTTCCCCCACCCCCCAAGCACACTTGAGCAACCTTGAATTTACTGGGAGTTGGTCCCTACATTGTTCATGAATGGATTCATGTGGTAGCACAGATCTGTTAGGCCAGTGCCAAATTTAAATAGAACTGTGTGCATTGTTAATTTAGTCAGCCTGCTTGTAGAACAGATCTGGACTAGCCCTGGGAAATCAAGATTTTTTTTTCAGGTGAAAGCAGCTTGATTCAGGGTAGTTTCAGTTTCGTGAAAAGTGGAATTTTATCCTAAGAGTGCAGCCTGACGTGCTCTAGGAAAGCTTCCTCGCTGTGGGCTCCCAAGAGAGGCAGAGGATGAACGTTTCAAAAGTTAAGCCACACTTTCTAGGGCTCTCAGAAATCCTGGGTCTCCAGGCCTTGGTTTTTACAGTTAACAATGGTTAACACGGAGAAATGGAATTGAACTCACTCAGAGGAATGCTCTCTAAATGACTAACAAACGGGTTTTTGCAACGTTTTACTAAGGACATGACATCCTATTCAAAGGAAGCCATGAAGGTGGAAGGAAGTCCTGTATGTCCTAGGAAAGTACTGTGAAAAGAAAAGGGACTCAAACGTGGACCCAGATTATGTCCTTATAGCTCTAGGGGCATCCTAGAAACACGCGTGCAAAGATCCCACAGCAAAAATAAACCAAACGCGCTCAACATCTACGCACGCTTATCTATTTGAAGGCCTGATTTTTGAGATTCTGCCCATTTGGCAAGAGGAAAGTTTTGAAAGGGGTGGGTTTTCTTGGCTTTGAGAAGAAAAAGCTAAGCATTTACCTTAATTTTGGGTGTAAGGTGTGACCTTATGTTATGGAGGGAACTTTCTCTACATCCTTTTATCTCTCCTGCCAGTTCCTCTCTTTCCATTAGAAGGGAAGTTCCACAAGGGCAGAAATGTTTTGTCTGGGACACTGCTCTATTCTTAGCTTCTAGAACTCTGCTTGACACTTGCTTGGCATTCAGTAAATTTTTGATAAATGGACTGAGGAATGGGGAACCTCTTCTAGGCCTATTTGAACTGAGTCTGGTGGTTGATATCCTGTTCTCTATATTTCATAAAGCTTGTCAGAGAAACAGAAGAGAAGGGAGGGAAAGAGGAGCCCTGTGAACAAGACTTGAGTCCTAGATCCAGTGGTACCTGAAGGCCACTGCCTACATTTACTTCCTTTCTAATTACATTCTCTATATCCCTTTATTTTCTTAAATTATTTTAAGTTGCATTCATGTGCTTGTGACTGCAGGAGTCTTAGAGCGTGTAATGATAGTGATGATAACTATGAAGGGCTATTATGATGTGCTACATTCTGAGCTCTGTGTTTTACATGAATTATTTCATTTACCGCTCACCATAACACTGCAACATTATGTAATCCTATAATCCAGATGGTAAACAACTGTGTTCCAAATTATTTGAAAATGGAATGGGATGAAATTAGCTTGAGGCTCCATTTGAAGGATTTAGATTAAACTGAAAAGAGATGTTTCTGACGGGGTGGCTCGAGGCTGGAATGGTTGCCAAGACAGATGGTTGAGTTGCCTTCTCAGGAGTTTAAAATAGGACAGATAGATATTCTTCTGGTCTTTACCACATGGCACAATCTTTTGGTATTTTTGACCATTCAATGACTCCAGTGGCTGGTAGAAAGTGGATCGATTCTGAATCTAGTGTGCAGAGGCAAGGGTGAGTGTGTCAGGGTGTCTGATCTGGTCTGCAAGTAACTCTGACCTGGGAGCAGGGATTTAGGTAGATGAAATCTCAGGGTTTTCCTGTATTGCCGTCAAAGACTTAAGGCCTTAGAGACATGAAACAAGAAATGGTGATAGCACTAGTTTGTGATTCCGAGCCCTTTTTACTAAGAATGAACACTTCACTAGCACTTTGGGTCCTATGAAGGGCTTGTCCATTCTGTGTACCCTCGGATTCTAGCACCCATGCTGTAAACAGGTGGCTCTGGGACACCAGCAGATATCTAACATGGCCTCCTTTTGTCACCTGGGGACGCATCTGGGGTTCTTCAGGAATAGCCCCCAGGGGTCTCCAGCTCTGCAGTCACCTGACTGTTGCACACAGGAGCTTTCTGCCAAGGCTCCTTCACTCTGGGGAAAACACTGTGCAGAGGGTTTTTACAGTGTGTGGAGACCAGGCCTATGGGAAACACGGCCCTTTGCCCACCAACTCTGGAAGTGTGCTCTGCTCCTGTAACAGAGCTCCTGTTTTTCTTTTGGTCTCATCCAGTTGGTTTTTGTAAATTGCCCAGGACTTATAGTAGAACAAGATTTCTCACCCAGTCCTATGTCCCTGGAAGTACGGAGATTCAGGCTCTGGCCCCGTGCTCTCTTAACTCCAGGGGGCCCTGGGTCAGCTGGTGGCTTGGTTCTCTGGAAGCCGCCTTGTCTAGAAATGCAGGCTAGTCAGTTACCCACAAGCCCTCTCCAGGGAGAGTCCATAATGAGCAACTTTTTGAGCAGTTCTCACTCATCTGTTCTATCTCCTGTCTTCAAGGACATAGACTGCATAGGTTGTTTCTTTTTTCTTTCTCTTTTTTTTTCTAGTTTAGTTGACATGAAATTCACAGAAACAAAACTCACCCTTTTTCACCTTTGAAGATCATCTGAAAGAGTACATACTTACATCATAGCAGTAGGTTTTTAGAATTGTCCTCTTTCCTTATCTGCATTTTGTTTTTTTTTTTTACAATGGTTTTGTGATATGAAAAAACACAATGAGTACTTGCAGTTGTTTCAAGTTACTTGTGACTAAGTCATACACATCCATGTTTCTGCTTTATTGTGATTCCGATTTAATATTCAGGGACTCTAGTTTCAGAGAGCAAAACCCTCTTCTGATTTCTCCGATGGAAGTGACTCTAATTTCCCCTGTCTTGTTCTGGGCTGGCACTACAATCCTTTATTTGACAAATATTTACTGAGCATCTACTATGTGCCAGACACTATTCTTTAGGCTGAGAATTATAGCCATACATAAAGGCTGTCATAGCCATGCAAGCCCAACTAGAATGAGAGGCATACTAGTCACTCACATATTTCTCGGTGACCAGTTGCTCCTAGATGTGAGGCTCAACATCATTGGCCAGGTCAGCTCCCAAGAGCTATTCATCCTTCTCTCTCAGCGCATTCTTAGACCAGCCTTTGTGAAGGCAGCAGGACTCTGCCCCACACCACCACGTTGTCCATGTGTTTTTGCGTGAGAAAGAAAAACAAAAAGAACAACTGAAGCCCTTTTTTCTTAATCCTAAAAGTACAACATGCTCAGTGTAGAAAAATTGGAAATGCAGAAAGAATGTAAAGAATCAGAGAATGTCATTTACAATCTTACTGGTAAATTACATTTCTGCTCAAAGAATAAATCCATTGTAGTAAGGAAACAGATGTTGCAAAAGGATGGTTTGTCATAATTATGTAAAGAGAAAAGAAATAAACAGACTTTGATTTTTGTTGTTGGTAGTGGTGGTTTTTTGTAGGGTTTTTTTTTTTTTCCTTAATGCTCTGAAATTCTCAGCCTTAGGAATGAAGTAAGCAGATGAACACTTGCTTTATAAAATTCAGTGTGTCAAAGCCGTGCTCCTAGCATTATGGTTACCTCTT